CGGCAGGGGACCGCGGCCGACGCGGCGCGGCCGCCGCGGCTCCAGCTATCCCAGCCCACCTGCGCGTCTTGATTTTGACTGTCTTTGGCTTCTTCTGATTGTGGTCCTGATAGTTTATCTGCAAAGCGGCCGCAGCAATCACAGAGAAGATAAGGTCAGAAAAGGTCAAGGCGGGTCGTTGGAGCTCTCCACGCTGTGGAAGAAATGGGGGAGGGCGACCGAGGTGGGAGATCGCGGCCGCTACGATGGGAACGCGTGGCGCCATGCGGCGCGCTGTGGGGCGGCCGCGCCGCCAGCTGGGCGCGACGGGCAGCTGCGGCTGGTGGGGCGCAGGGAGGGCGGTGCGGGCCGCAGCGCAGCGTGCAGCGTCTGACCCCATGGGCCGGTGCCCTTGCGCGGGGGCTGCGTAAGATGTTATGGCAGTCCGAGGTTATCACCTTTTTGGGGGCCAGGCTGGGCTTCCCCAGGAGCCCCCGCAGCTGCTGAAACCTCAACGCCCCGCCGCCGCCGCTGATTGCATTCACGCCGCCCCAGCGCCCGCCGCCGCCCGCCGCGCTGCTGCCGGGGCCGCGGAGCCACCGGGCGGCCGCTGCGGTCGCCAAGCCTCGTGTTCCGTGATGCGATTCAAGGCACTGCCGCGACAGCCGTCGGTTGGCGTGGCCGCCTAACGGGCTGCTGGTGCTGCTGCTGTGGAAGCTGGCGCCGCTACTGCTGCTGATGCTCCTGCTGCTGACGCTGCTGGGGCACGAGTTACTCAAGAAACTGCCCTGCGCTTGGCATATGGATGGGGACCAGTGGGTCTCGAGAGGGGCGACATCTCGGCGCAATCCTGCAACGACGCGGGTGCGCCAGGCTGCAGGTGTGCGCAGCGGCAGCGCACCTGGCTGCAAAGGGGAGGGGGACCCCATGGACCGCCACACGATATACCCGCCCTTCCAGAAGTTGAACACGCGCCCTGGTCCGCCGAGCACGCCCGCTGAGCCCGCAGCAGGCGTACGGCTGACCGCATCAGCCGGTTCATGCTGCTGCAAATAATTCACTTGATTACGGTGGTTGAACCTCGCTCACAAAAAATGATCCCGCAATCGCGTGCGCATTCACCAGATCAAATCCTGATCTGGGGTCATGCGGCGCCTTGGTTCCGCCGCTGCGGCGCGGGCGGCGCGACCCCGCCGCGCCTTGGTTCCGCCGCCCGCGCCGCAGCAGCCACGAAATCCCCGGATCGACGCAGCAAATTGAGGCCAGCACGTGCGGAACGACGGTGTACATATCATGGGCGCCGTCGGTGTGCGCATGTCGTGCCGAACTCCCTAAGCTTGCATTCGACAGTCACGCCTGGCCGTGAAACACGTGCTGTCATCGGCGTGAACATCAAGTTCCCAGCCTTCTCCCTTGGCGCCGACCTCCCAGAAGAAATTTTGAAGAAGATATCAGGGCCAGATAAGTTCAAAATGGGAGCAGGCCACGGATCCGCAGGAAAAGGAGCCTCAGGGCTTTGCCAAGGGCAAGGCCACAGCAGCAGGGGCGATGCAGGGGCAGCCAAGGCGGCCGAGAAGGCGGTGGCTGGGAAGTGTTTCAAGACATTTTTCGAAATGCTACACGATTTGAACGCGTCCTGATCAGCTGGGTGAGGCCTCTATCAGAGTTTTGGTGCTCAACCCTGCGCAAACCCCAGCCCCAAGTTTACTACTGTCAATGGATGGGTCGCTGCTGGTCTCCCAGCTGGCCTGACATCGCTGTTTACTTGCAGGGTCGTTCCTATCCACCAGTCACGAATAATGGCTGCACCCTCTGCGCAGGGAGCACGCGGTACAGTACTGCTGCTGCAGCATTCCCGTCACAATCCCCTGCGCTCCGCCGTGAGCGGCCTGCTGCTGCAGTGTACCCCAATGCCCAGGTTCTTGCACCAGTCGGACACAGGCACATCAGAACCTGCGCAGCGCCAGAGAGGCTGCCCACGCGGCGGACGCTAGTGCTTGGCGTCCAACACCACAATCGCGGACTTGAAAACAGCAAAACACCTTGGCCCTCAGGCCGTGTGCCCAGGGGTCGGGCATTTGAGCACAGGCAGCTGCTGGACTCAAGGCAGGCAGCACGCCGCCATGGAGCTGGCCATTGACCCAACTGCACTGCCCCAGCCGTGAGGGCGAAAGCTTCGCCCACCGCAAACACTGTGTCATGGCCTCAGTGCCTCCCCGGCCCTCGCCCCCACCCCCCAGAAACATCTGCAGGCGTCCCCTGCCTGGACGTTCACGAGGCGGCGCGCCTGCGCACAGCCAGAGGGCATCCTGGCTGGCGCGCAGGCCGGCGGTGGCGGCGGCAGGCAGCCGCGGCAGGGGCGGGCGGCGGGGACAGTCAGCCATGGGCTGGCCAGCGCTGGCTGACTTGTCGCGCACGAGTCTGCCTCACGCCCTTGGTTGAGCTCACGGCTGGCCTGGTCTTTGGCATTCGTGCCGATCTTGCTCACTCGATTCACTTGCGGCGTTGCATGTGCGGCTGCGCTCAGGCTTACGGGCACGCAAAGCGGGTTACAGCAGCACCAGCAAAGCATGCTATGGGCGCCGCCCCACAGAGACGCGCCACTGTGGAAGGCAGCGGGCGCCGGCGTGGTTTTAGACACCACATGGTGCGCGGGGCAGGCATTGAAACGCCAGCAGGATTCCACAGACGCTGCGTCAAGGGGACCCTGCTGGCGCTCACAAGCAAGCAGCAATGGCGCCAGCGGATGGCGCACAGCGTGTTCTACAAGGCAGTATGTGAGAAGGGAAAGACAACTCCTGCTTGCGTCAAGGCTCAGAGGCACGCGCTGGTGAGCTGGCCGGAAGAAGAGCGGGGCATGGGGGGCCGCGCGTCGCTGCTGTTTTGGGCTCCGGAATGGGAGGTGAACACTCAAACGTGTGCTGCAGGCACTGCAGACTTTTCAGAGTACGGTGGGAAGCTGCCCCCTGCTGTTGTGTGGCACCTCGCGGTGCGGTGATACTTGGGCCATCACACGCGTGGCGAAAAATTGACTGCGGCGCTTTGCTACAAAGTCACATCCCATGAGCCTGATTGGCTCCGGGAGCGGGCGACCGCGTGGTCTTGTAGCAATCCAAATCACAATCCTATGGCGCTGCGCAAGGGTGGGCGATGCGGGCGGCCGGGCACAAGGGCGAGCCTCGACCTGGTTTCATCTGTTCTGTGGGTGGACGCTGCCCTCGGACGGTGCTGCAGCCGCGCCGGTCACGTTGAGTTCCTGCAGGCCCTCCTGCACCGCACGCACGCCCTCCTCAATCGGGTCCAGGCGGCGGCCCGTGTCAGGAGGGGACTGGCAAGGCCGCAACCCCTGAATGGCCTGTAGCATGTCCTGCCCCATGTGCGAAATCATGCGCTGCATCAGCGCGTCCATGCGCCGCATCCGCGCTTCGAGCTGCTGCATCTGCCGGCGAGTTGCGGGCGCGCTGGGCGAGTCATGAGCCGCAACGGTGCTGTCTTCAAAGGCCTGTGATTACGGGCGCAGTGGGATCCAGGGTCCAGCCTTGTGCAGGGAGGGGGGGGAGTACGCGCGGCATCGCGCATTGCGTCGTGCACTGCTGCACCATTGCACGTGGGCGAGCGAGTGGCCCAGTAGCCGGCCAAGGCCGGTGCCTCACCATTACGGTATGACTCTAATCTGCAGTTGCTATACGTCGCTGGCAGGCGGGGGTGGGGGCAGAGGCACGCCGAAAATGAGGATTGATTTGAGGGACGGATGGCCGCGGCTGCCGAGGGACGCCCTAGAGACGCATTTGCCTACGATAGTGGTCTACTATTCTTGCTCTTTGTTGCACTGATGTTTGGGGCAATGTTATGAGTCAGATTACGGGGGTGCCAGTGACTGTTCGACTGAACTGTCCCGGAGACCAAAAACAAGCATTGCGTAGCCACGCTGAAACGCATGCAACTGGTACCTCGTCCGTGCCCTTGGCTGCCCGGCCACCCGGCCGCCCGGCCGCCTGGCCCGATCGCTGCACTTTGACCGCCGGCCGCCGCCACTGCCGCTGTTTGTGTCCATGTCTAACACAACCCTGCAAAGCGTTTGAGCGGTTCAGGCACCAAGCAGCAGCTCCAAAGCAGGTGCCCGTCTGCTGGCCACCTCGCCCATCCAGGCTTGGCGAGGGGCTTGCCCTGCCAGGTCAGCGGCACGACCGCTGGCGCCCGCAGCGAGCGGCTTCAAAAACCGCCGAGCTCCCGAACAACGCCAGCTGCTCGCACAAACGCGTTGAAAGCTGCACCCTCTAACGCCGGCTCATCGGGCTTGAGGCGCACCAGGCGCGCCCACGCCTCAAGCTCCCGCGCGCCATGCAGCTTGTACGCCCAGGTGGGCCCCGGGTCGTCCGGCGGTACACAGAGCCATCACTCGCAGGAGACCCTGTCAAACGGCTCCCAGAAAACGTATTTCTTAAGGGCGGCTCCACGACGGCCAAGTTCCGCGGCGAGACGACAGCGGACAGCCATAGTTGTGTGTGCATCAGTGCCCATTGTCCGAAGCTTACTTGTGTGTTGACAGGCCTTCCCCCCGCCCGCCTTAGGCATGCCGCCTGTGCCATCCCGTTCATATGCCGGGGTCGGCTGCCATAAGCGCGCCGTCCGCAGCGGGCGTCACCTGGCCCTGCCGCAAGGGCTCCGTGCAGCGCTGCCTAGGCCGCCTCGCACGGCAGCTGGAACGCGGCCGCGACGGCAATTTCAGCGGCTCGTGCGGGAAGGTGCACTGGCGGCACGGCTTGTTCGCGTGCACAAGCGGCGCCGGCGCCGCCGGTGCAGGAGTCGTCGGCACCGGCGACTGTGACTCGGTGGTGGTCGGGCCCAGCGGAACGCCTCCACCATCCCCAGCCCCGTGCCGGGAGAACGTAAGGGGCATGACGTAACATAATTGAATCGCTTGCGACTGTTTTACATCGCTTCGATCACTGCAAGATCAAGTTCGCAGAGTTTTCAGCCAAACGAGTCGTAGCACCTCAGTCAATTGTTGGCTTTCGATAATGTGGGGCCTCGCGCCCCTGATTCGGACTTCCGTCGCAGCCTCGAGCCGCGGCGCCACTCACTGGTTACAGTTTCGCGGCCTCGCATCCGACGCCGCCGCCGCTGCAGCGTCGAGCGCGCTGCCAGACCCTTCCAAGCCGCTGCACCTGTTCGTGTGCGCCGCGGACGAGGAGACGGACGATGCGATCGCGCGCGTCGTGGCGGCGCTGAAGCAGCAGCACCCTGCTGGCGTCACCTTACACGGCCTGGTGGGTCCCGCTTCCGAGCCCCGCAGGCGGCTGCAGGCCGCGCTCAACCGCCTGCCCCGCGGCCACATCCAAGCAACAGCTCAGCCTCAACCCCCGCCTGTGCCCAACGAGCCGCCGCGCCGGCTGCGCCAAGCATCCCTTGCTCCCTTTCCACGGCGGTCAACGCTTGACCGCGCAGCCGCCCTTCACCTGCACACTCACCCTGCAATCACCTGCCCTTGCCCCGGCCCTGGCGACCCGCGGCCCCGCCCCCCTGCATGCCCCCGGCAGGGCGGCCCTGCTCTGCAGCAGGAGCAGCTGCAGAGGGTCAATGAGGAGGGGTGGTTCAAGGAGACGCACTTGATGGAGCACGTGGAAAAAGTGCCCAACTTTGTGGCCTGGAAGATCCACAAAGTGAGGGATCGTGCCGCGAGGCGCGCCGCGGCGCCGCCATGGAGCGGCCGTCGGGCGCGGCGGCGGCGCAAATGCGGCCAGCACGCCGCTGTCGGATCCCTCCACTTTTTTTCGATGCGTGGGTTTGTTTGAAATTTAAAAGTTGGCATAAGTGGAGGTGTGTGCACTCCTCCCTGTCATGCACATGCACACACTTACATGCACACACACACTCACCGCATCCGATTCTCCGCCCCTTGCCAACCCCTTTCCGCACCTGCCGCGCAGCTGGACGAGGTGGCAGTCCCCACAGCCCACAGCTACACCATGCGGCAGTCCCTGGTCGTCGCCGCCGCGCTGCGCGGCACCGGCAGCGGCGGCCCGCTGCTGCAGGCCCAGCAGCTGCGGCAGATGGTCGGTGGCGAGGGCGCAGGTGCCGCAGCGGAAGGCGAGGAGGTAACACCACACGAGCAGCAGCAGCAGCAGGAGCAGCAGGAGCAGCGGCAGCAGCCTGAGGCTGCGGCTGCCGCTGGCGCGGGTCGGCAGCAGCAGGAGCAGCAACAGCAGCAGCAGCAGCAACAGCGGCAGCAGCAGGCCCCGTACGACGCCATCTTCGTCGGCGGCGGCCGCCGCTTCGCCCAACACTTGCTGCGCGGCCTGCGGGTGGCGCAAGAAGAGTATGACGCAGCGGGCGTCCCGCCTCGGATCTTGTACCTGCCGCGGGATCTCGCCGACCCCCGGACTTCCGCGTCGGCCGCCAAGCAGTGGGGGCGGCTCGCGGACCATGTGATGTGCGCGACGGCGCAGGAAGCTTCCCTGGTGGAAGGCGCGCCCGCCAGCGCGGTGGGCCATCCTCTGGGCGAGCTAGTGGGGTCGGCGCAGCAGCAGCGGCAGAGGGCGCGGTCGCGCGGCGGCGGCGGCAAGGATGAACCAGACGGCGGTGCCAGCGGCGGCGGCGGCGGCGGCGGCGGAGGGTTTGTCGGCGGCGGCGCGGCGGGGATGGGGATGGACAAGGTCGCGTGGCTGAGAGCGAGGGCGGCCGAGGCTGCTGAGCTGGCAAAAGGGAGCGGCGCCAGCTCAGCGTTCGTGCAGGGCAGCGCGGAGCGGTTCTGGCAGCGCGTCGGCGGCGGCGGCGCAGGCGGTGGCGGCGCAGGCGGTGGCGGCGCAGGCGGCGGCGGCGGCGAGCGGGGGCCGGCGGGCGGCGGCGGGCGGCCGCTAGTGGCGCTGCTGCCGGGCTGCTACGAGTCGCACCTGTCTGCCAACCTGGGGATCTTTGGTGAGCGTCGCTTGCTATATATTTATCAATCTATTATCGGGCACCTGGAGCAATACGCTAGTATAATACAAACACATAATTCTAACCATTGCATCTACAGTATATCAAGAACACATGTATGTTTTCACTGTGATCACGTGCGGCGTGTGCGTGTGTGTGTGTGTGTGTGTGTGTGTGTGTGTGTGTTTGTGTGTGTGCGTGTGCGTATGCGTGGCACATGGCGCTTATTCGGAGCCGCACCAACGGTCGAGCCAGCCTTGGGCGCACCCGAAGCTGCCGCGGGCGCGTGTGCGCCGGCGGGGACGAGCTGGGGTGCGAGGTCGCGGGCGAAGCGCGGCGTGCCCCTGCGCTGCTTCGGGGCGGCGCCGTCAGGCGCGGGCCCGGCCGGCCGCCGCGGAGGCGCGGGCTGGGACTTGCGGGGGGCCCGGCACAGGGCTCCAGGCAAATAGGCAGGGGTGCCGGCGCAGGCTGCGCCGCAGCGACGGCCCCGTTGGCCAGAGTCGCTGCACAGCGTCTCTCATGACGGCCCTGCCCCTTGTTCCATCCACACCAGCGCGACGGCAGCTACACAATTCTTCGCAACCTGCGCGCCGCGGCCGCCGCGACCCCCCACGCCTGCCCCGCCGTCCTGGCACAGCTCCAACATCAGACCGCCCACCTCATACCGACCACCCACCCGTGCACCCCAGCCACCAACCAGCCACTGCAACCGACCACCCACGCCAATCACCATCCATCCACACGATTCACTTTGCCACGCACCCACACCGCCCACCGCCCACCCTCCCACC